AAGAAAAAAAGCCTGTACATATCCTTCCAGTCTCTTCTCTTTTGATATATTAAAAGTAGGAGAGAGAGAGAAAGAGAGGGAGAGCGAGAGAGAGAGAGAGGGAGAGTGAGGGTCGCGCGCTACTCGTTTTAATTTGCGGCTCTGCTCGATTCATTCTTTTTTCATCGGTTTATTTCTGAAGGCTGCCTCCTTTTTTTCCTTTCTCGTAGACGAGAGAAAATCGCACTCTGCGGTCAGGCGGATGCGCGCCATATGTCGCGCATTCCTGCACTTTGAATATATATCTCTCATTCTCGATTATTCCTGTCTCCCTCCTTGTGTTCTTTGCTTCTTTCCGACTCGGCGCCCATGCTGAGAGATTGAGACGGATGAGAAAGCGTTTGCGCTTCAGTCTCGCGCAAGCAAATTAATGCTACGAAAGAGCTTTTTCTCGAACGCGCAATCGGAATATGATTGCAATCAATTTTATCGCCTGGACGTTAAGGTTATCGTTTTGGCAACAGGCGTCTCGTGTCCTTCTGTTCGGCTTATAATACCAACAGTATTTTTTCGGACCCCGGCCCGGGCTTTTTTCTCTCTTCGCTTCCTTGACCGAAAAAAACTCAGTATCGACTTTGGCCTCGGCTCAGCTACCGCGTCCGCAAAGGCGGCCAAATTAAAGGATTCCAGACGTCTAACAACGCTCTCGCTTCTATTTTAATCCTCTTTCCGTCGAGTTCTCTCCTTCTTGTGCTATTTTAACGAGCCAGCGAACGGCCCGCCTTCATCGACGCAACGGGATTTTCGTGCAATCATATCGTTCGATAAATTTTCGACCATTAATGATTCTTTCTTGTGGAGATCTTCAAAGTGAAAAGATGGTTGCATTTCGGCGAGTAACTAACGGCAACTAAAGCTTTCTCACAGTCCAACATTTCAATATTTTTATTTTTATTTCCGTTTGTCCCATTCAATTTACCCTCGAATAAGCTTTCCCCACGAGCAAAGCGATTAGGAGAAATGTCTAAATCGATTGGTTCAAAAATCCACGAAACACTGTCAAAAGACAAATAACCTAGTCATATGACAACGTGTTACTCGTATGAATTTGAAGCTAAGTCACGTAGCTTGGCTCGCAATCATTATAGAGTGACAATTATGCCAGCTGCGCGGCCATTACGAAAAAGTGTTACAAGAGCCTCGCGGAAGCCTTGTCGTCGTCGACGACGTGGGAGAGCAAGTAGTCGACAATTAGCGAGCGAGGTGCCGTTAAAGTGCTCTTTCTCTCTCCCTCGGGCTGCATCGGTGAACATTTTTGTCGATCTTGATAATTGCTAGATACACGGACGTTCCGGAGTAAGCGAATTAAGCGACTTTTACACCTATGCCAGCAGCAATAATTAACGGCAATAATTTTTCAAAATTACATCAGCTTAGTGTACTTTCTTGATATCTGGAGATGTGACGTTATTGAATAGCAAGATCGTATTTGCGAAATTTACAAGTATTTTATTCCAATTGATCAACACCTGACGTAATAAATTATCGTCATTCGAGAATAAAAAATGTGTTATAAGACGACAAAAACTAGTCACTGTGCACTTTCAGTTGACAAGCAGTTGTAATTAATCACAACACACTGCGTAAAAAACCACCCTGCAGGAATAGCAAGTACAGGTGCGCAAAAAATCAAATAAGACAAAGTATTCGATAAGCAATAAAAAAAGGAGAATATCGAAGAGCTATTGCACTGCGGGGCCGTCGTCGCAAGTAAAAGCAGAAAAAGCACTCTAGTATGAGAATCCAGATAAATGGCAGTTGAATGATCGACGGTCATTTTCACGTCAGGCTGGGCTCACTCGCAATTGCTATCGCGTTCGCGCAATCGACTACACACACACACACATGGCGCTAGCGATGGTGACGGTGGTGGTGGTGATGCAGCAGTCAGCTGTCAGCGGGGTGCGCGAGCGCCAATGATATAATGGGTATCGTGTGCGATTGAAACCACCGCAATTCAGCGCGAATCTAATTGTTTGCACGCATCTGAAAAACTTGTTAAATATCGCAGATATATATTTACACCAAAGAATTTCTCCTTCCTAATTTGTTTCGGTCGTACTTTATGTGTTTTACGCCACAAAGGAGGTGTAGCTTCGAAACGGAAAATAAGACAAGAAAACAGGTTACCTATAATCTGACGCGTCGTAAATTAATTAAACGTAATACAAGGCGTTCTTGCCGAAAACTTATCGCACCGTCGTAAACATAGCAGGAAAATACTTGCCGTCATATTCCAGAATCTAATGACTAACCGTTTTCACTGAGCCGCGCCTGCTCTGGCAAAGATAAAACCGAAATATGCCGCACCGCATGTAGTTCTTTGTTTTTTTCGTAAGTTAAAGTGACTTGAAATGGCAAAGCACATAAGTGCATACCAGTAAACTAGAAGCTTATTACCGATTATCCGCCAGCGAGTACTCTTTGCAGACTGTTTTACGCAAAGTAGGTGCAAACTTGCATAGGCACGGGGAGGCCATCAAGGAAATTGAAAGAATCCCGGTGAAGCAAGTGTAACTCGAGAACCTCTTGTCGAAAGACCTATCAATATGTAGGTCTTTGTCGATGTCGGACTTACGCACTCGGTTGTCTGACGGTTCGTCCGACTAGTCGTTGCTTTGCCTCTACACACGACAAGGATCTAAAATGCATATGAGTTTTCTTGGTCGCGGTGAGATGATCGTTCCGCATGTGCACGTACGTGTATTGCGAACAACACATGGCAAGGTACGAAGGCCGATAACCGTCAAAGATAGCCACATAGTATAACGAACATTAAATTGCCCTCTAGCCCCTAGCTTCCTCCATATTATAAAATATCCGAGCGATAGGATGAAAGGGAGGAGTAGAGCTTGCCGTGGTCGCTCTACAACGATTCCTTAGACCGTGAGCTCGCAGATTTGCACGGCTGATAAGCAGCAGCAGCAGCAGCAGCAACAGCAGCAGCACGCGTGGCTATACGTACATGCATATAGCCATATAGCTGTATGGCTATTGCCGTGTCCAGCTTTTCGTTGTGATTTATTGCTTTGCCAGCAAAACCTTATCGGCTGCTAGGGTACTGCTCTTCAAATCCACTGCGCCACGTGACACACATGCATATAAGAATCTTACATCATGTAGTGATTTAATGCTTGTCGATTTCTCGTATATCGTATTAATGAAGAGTGATTACGGCATTCGCGACTGGTTCATTGAATAAAAGAGATTTTTATTATCAAGTACTCGATGAAAGTTGAAATTTCCTAATTTCTAGTACAAATTCATCGTCATTTGACTTACGACGACCAATTTATTTTTACATTTATTTTCATAACGTAAATCAAAAAATGAACGTTAAATTTAATAATTCTGCTACGTGAATCCGCTGAAATTTGTTCGAACGACAGTTTGAAAATAATACAGCATATAGAATAAGCCAGGTATATAGTGCACGTGCGCACACGTGCATCGCGGGGCAACTGAACTCGAGCAACGGTGCTCGTACGTGGCGAGGCGTGACGCGACCTTGCGAGAAAGAACGACGTTCGAAGGCTGATGGATTTTCAAGCACGAGGCGTTTATGAAAAATACGTGTGCTGGCAGAGGCCTGTAAAAGAGCAGCGGAGCAGCAACTATTGCGGACAGTAAACGCAGCGATAACAACGCGCGGAACGGCCGTTTTTCGCGCAAAACACCTCGCGCTCGGCAGCTGCGCACCATTCGCAACGTCGTTTTAATGTGCTTCGTTTTAGCGAGGGGCAGGCTGGTGCGCGCTATGAGATATTATGCGTCTGGAATTGAATTTTTTTCGCGGCTAGCAGTTTTTAATTGGACCGAGCGTTCTGACTTTATAAAACGCGCATAACGAACGAACAGTCATTCTTTGAAGCTGTGCGTTTCGTGCAACATTTCCAGGTAAACTTCTCGTTGTTCAGTCATTCGAAATCCCTTAAATGCACCCTCGCGCATAAGACAGACAGTGTGCACGAAACTATTTCCTTTTCTCTGCAATATCTACGCCAAACAGTGGGATATTTTTCTTATCGAATTCATGGCTACGACAGCAACTGCGCCGTGTGAACGAAGAATGCTGAATCATAGAGTCTGTCACTATGACATCTTCGCAAGTGTTAATTTACGTAGGTGCTCGTGCTTTCTGCGTCGCGTACCGATAACTTTGTGCGTGCAAACAATCGACGTACGGAAATAAACGACGACGACGACGACGACGACGATGAGTATGTACGCAGTGAGCGCAAGGACAGGACGAGTTACGCATTTGTAGGATCATCGTCGTCCGAAGGTAATGTCCGTTATATGCCACAGCCGCACTCGCCGCTACGGCGGTCGTTGAGCATTAGCGTAATCCCACAGTAATTTCCGATGCAATATCGAGGCATCAAACTGTCATCGAGTCGTTTTCACGGGAAGCGCTCTGTGGTCACTGACCGCTGCTTCGTACGACCACACGTATCGGGTAAATATGCAGCTGAATGAAAATTATCGAAATATATGCTTTGTTAATAAATGTTTGTTAAGCTTAAACGATGCGGGCGTCGACTGCGATCACTTAATGCCACCTACACGCTCGAATTAACCAGGATCTGATCAGAAATTATGTTAATTAACGGATGACTCTCGGCATTTGGCAATTGGTACAATGGCAAGCGCCTGCGAGACGCAAGAGAATCCGCGTTTCAGGAATGCGATCGATGATCCGTACAATACGCCCGATGGTCGCAGACGATAAGCTCGTCCAAGACCAGCCCACTAACATGCCAATCAGCGTAGAATTTTTCTTAACTCATCGACTTTCGTTGTACCGCGTACGCGCAATAAGGAGGCAAGGGTCAGCGCGCCTGCGAGCTCGACTCGTGTCCACAATTAAGCGATTGAAGCGGTACCGAGGAAAAAGCAAAAACATCGAGTGTCTGCGGAGGACGCCAAAAAAGAAGGCCGATTCAAAGGGAAGAGCTCACCGATCGCTTTGAAGAATCAGCAGTTTGCCGATTGATCTCCAGCGGAGTTGGTATCGACGGCCTGCCGAGGTACCAATCCTCACGGGGATTGTAATTGTCCAGCAGCTTCAGCAGTCTTGGCACATTCACGTAATTGTCGTCGTCGAAGTGACAAAACCATCTGTAACACATCAAACGATATCCGCTTAATATGTATCGTTTTCATTTTTTAACTTGCAATAAGTCTTTATTTGCTCCAGGAAACCTAGTCCCACTAATAAATGCACTCAAAAAGGGACTTTTATGGACGCTCAAATTCCTAAACTCTTTCCTTATGACGATGTTTCGAGTGTAGGCGCTGTAGCGCCAGCACGACTATAACGCAATCAATGTACGCGTCAGTAGATGGGAACAGGCTGTTAGGATTCTTCCTGGAACGTCACATGTACGAGTTCTTGCTGCTTGTAAAGTAAACACCCTAGCAACGTATCTTCCTTTTTACTCCTTTTTTGCATAAACTGAACATACAACGTTCTCTCGTAAACCCCACCCTTCAAACATGAAATTTACGAGTACAGTTTGAACTTAATTAGCGTTATATGATAAAACATACAAACTTGACGATTTTATCGTCACAACTCGGCGCGACATACCTCACGCTTGTGCACGTTTTTATTGTTACTTATTTTTAACTAAAATATCACAAAATGAAGTCACCATTATGAATTTGTTAAAAATTTCTAATGCAAGTATACGGAAGCGATGCGAACCTAATGAATCTTATTCGCGAATCAATAATGAATAGAAACAAAGATTTCTCGCAGAAATAATGGCAAGTTGCCGAAATGGAGCAATCGTGTACATATACGTAACAACAACAAGGGTAGTTGCGTGGGAAAGCAAAAGCGTGCGACTTAATGTTTCTCCCCTTCATGGCAAGGCTTCCCTCGCGTCCTCGTTTCTTTCTGCTTTTTTTTCAACTGGTGGCCGAAGCGGGTGCGTGCTTGGACTTGAATATAATGGGGACCTCCTCGACAGCTTTGGCTAAATTACTGAGTATACACGTGGGCCATTGTATTACGCTCTCGACACGTGACTCTTACCATACGTACATAAGGTCAATTTATCGTTGCAGAGAATCGCGTACAATGCTGTGTATATTTTGGTCGGATATTCTGGGTTATTTCTATGCAGTTGACAATTGAAATCAAGAAAATAAATCTTTCACAAGGATTGTGCGAATCACACGTTCAACTTTTTCGGAATGAAAGTGTACAGCGCGCGAATCTAGGCTATCAATTTCAATCACATATCGATTTAGTCTCATTCTCGACCAATGTCCTGACGCAACGCAGCGACCGCTCATTCCCACCCTCGTCTTTCCTTTTTGTACGTGCCTCGTGCACTGATTGACACGGGGATGCACTTGGCATGTGAACTGGGAAAAGTCCGCCTCTCTCGATTGCCATTGCGGTGTATATATAAGTATAGTGCAACATGAGCCTCGTTCTTTCGGAGAGTGTTTAATTAAAGTCGTTAAGTCGCTCCGCGCCTTTCTTTCTTTTTTTTATCTTTACGCCCCCTACTTTTAAATCTAATTCTACTTGATTCCCGTAATCAGCACAACTGGAGCTTGTCAAGAGACCGATTCCTACACAACCTTCGTATCTCTCTGCCATTTTTATTCTTTGTCAGTTGCGTCCAAGTGCAGCCTTCATTAATATACACTACTCGAAACATACAGTGCAATGGTACTCTAGGCTTTTATTTGTAATGCGTTTACATGTGCCGATTCCGACTGAACAAACTTGCACTTGTCGTAAATTTTATATTTTTAAATCTGTGATATTTTATCGTGTGTACCGAGTTACTGCAATGTTTGTAAGACGTTTTCAAAAATGTAGCTTATTTTTAATATAGATTTTATGGCTTTTGCGAGCATCAGTGGTTCAGTGGTCGGATGCTCGTTCCTCACTTATAGTGGAATATTCCCTAAGTCTTAGCGCGTGTAACTATGTGTCTGCTTGCACATAAACTGTCGCCAAAGTAACAAACACTTTATTAGCGCATCGATTTATTAATACTAAATCTTACTCGCGACTATTAAGCGAATCGATAATGACATTTTACAAAATTTCACCGTGGCAAAAGAAATTACCTGTAAATTTGCTGGTCACTCTCATCAGTATACATTGCTCCACATATGTTCCACGACAAAAATAACGGCATCGCGCAGGATATGAATAATACCTCAATTATCTATAAAATGTTTTATACTAGGTCAGCGAACAAAACACCAACGTATAGTAGTTCGAACCGCCTCAGGTGAAAAGGAAGGACACAAAAAAACGATTGTTTTTCATAAACGAAAAACAAATCAATAACTTTGCATAGATTGATCGATATGATCATTTAAAAATAATATTAAACGCACAAAAAACTGTTTGCTACTTATACACTGACTGCCCATCAAGTGGCAATTGTATACTCGTAAGTCTGAACACACAGCCTTCCCCACTCTCTCTTCGACTCTGCTTCGTCACCATTCTATTCTCCTTTATTGCATCCAACAAAAATTACGATAATCAGGTATGCAAACTTTTTAAAATTTTTACTAATTGTTGCTAATTATGTAGGCTGACATGATTCCGCAGTCATAGCCTAGAATCCCTTTGCGATGTTGATTGTCCAAGGGTGCACTCGCACACATACCGTTAATAAGCGAGATGTTCTCTTGTGAAACGTGCTTATTTTCTATATCCACATAAGATTAAAGCTGTAAAGTAACTGTATAGCATTTTTCTGATGCAAGTAAAATGATGATTTTGGAAAAAGAGGGAAGGGTTTTGTAAGCTCTGACGACAATTGTTTTAAACTTTTAAATTGTTTTAAATTATGTTGATGCATTAGAGCGGCGGTGTATACCTATAGGCACGAAAGAAAAGGTGCTCGAGCCTTGATCATCGAGCGAAGGGCAAGATTGCCAATTAGGAAAAATTGCCAAGAGTGTGAGAGCGACTACTACTTGTTACACACGCGATAGATCGTCGTCGCCAGTCACCGGATGCTACCACCATCACTGCAGCCACCATCAACCGCCACGAATGAAATTATACACGTCGAAGAAATCGCGGCGGTGGCGGCGGCGGCGGCGGCTGTCTCGGCAAGAAACTTACGGATCACCTTTCCTACCAAGCATCCTCGTGCCAGCGCACGGACAACTTGAGGCGGCTCCGATATACACTCACTTTTTGCACTCTTTTGCGCCAGGCCTTCTTGTAGATCTAATTTCATTTATTACTTTTTTGGTTGTAGGCGCGAGGGAAAAGGATCGATGACAGACAGTTCTTTAGTAGCGCAGCCATGAGCACCGATGGACGAAGGATGACAAGTTTCTATTTCGAAAACGTAAGCCACTTCGTGTAAATTTGAATTAGCATTCGTACATTTTAATGGAGCCGATCTCGATCGTCAGCTAAACGCTATAATTTGAGCAAAAAAGAGAATGCAAATTGGCGTGATGTAGAGTGAGCGTGCGTGTAGATCGGATGAGGCGAGGGGATGCGGATAAAATGAAATGCAACGAATTGATCGATTCATCGCGCGAGCGCACTCTCGCCCGATCAATCAGTCAATCAGTCTTCCACTCTTCCATTATCTCCATTTCCCCATCTGCGTCGTCTTGCTCCCTCTCGTGCATATCTACATATACATACAGTGGACGTGCTTGTCGTTCTCGTTATAGCATTTTACCTCGGGCTAGATACTTGGACACTGCAGGCTACGAAAGTATGCGCATGGCATGCTTCAAATAAAATAGACACCGTTCTTCGCTGTACGATTGTACCAAACGTTTTTCAAGCACACGAGTAAAAAGGTTGATCGAATTTTCCAATCGCATTGCGATTTATTCGATTTCATTGTCGATCGATCAATCTTGCGTATTGTATCTGGTTACGCATCGACGCATCGACCGACTCAAGTGTGTGTCATCGCACGCGAGCCTTCGGCGTCAGCCCAGTCGCGCAAGCCATTGGACCTAATATTTCGCCATTAGTCATTGCACTGTTATTCTACTATTGTATCGTTTACTCGCAGACAAGCTAAAGTGCAATGGCATTCGAGATTTGACTTTGAATTGGGAGCCGTCGTCCCGGACGTTTTGGCCGCGGCCTTGGCCGCCGTCAGCGTCTTATCGTTAAAATACGCAGAATCGCCGGTAGGTCGGGCGGACTTGTCGATCGCGCTCGAAACTTGCTGGATTCATCGCAGCATACCAACAAGGAGGACCAGGTGTCATAAAGAACTAGCGGACAAACAGCGCGCAGCGAGCGCAGCTCTGCACACACCGCGCGTACAGCGATTATCCAAGCCGGCAGGTAATGAGCGTAAAGGGGCCATTGCTATATTTGCGTGGACGCAGGATGCTCGGTGTCGTTAGTAATACTGGCCCGAAGCTGCGTGCGCGCGCGCGCGTCGAGGACTCTCGCAGCGGCGTATCGGTCGGAAGATCGGCAATTACCGTGCTCAACGCACTGCTCTCGTTTCTTCTTCTTTTTCTCATCCTCCCTCTGCTCCCGCCCTTCGCTGCTCCTACCTAGCCAGTATAACTCGCTCGCTGGGCCGATTTAACCCGTGGCGATCGCTCAAGTACGTTAATTATGTATAGCCGGCACAGCCCACTGAGGATTGTCTAGCGGCCTTCTTGCCTCGCAGACTCGGCAAGCGCATTAGCCTATAGGCAGAGGCAGCTTTCGCAGTTTTTTTTCTATCTTCAGCGTCGCGCTCATTTTTCTGCGTGCTAAGGTAAACTGCGTGCGCGCACGGCCATTTGCATTCTCGGCAGAGAGATTTACAGTTAGCGAATCGTCGTGGAGAAACCGAGCAGAGCGCGCAGTCTTATCTGTTATTCCAACTAAATGTAATTTTCGTGATAAAAAGAGGAGAAAAAGTGGAGAGACGACGTTGGCGCGGCCAATCGCACTTTTCTCAGCCCGCACGCGGCCCTGACTAATTGCCCGTGTCTTTTTCGCGCCAGTTCTCTGCCGCACTTTCAATCTCGGCTCCTTTCAGATGTCTCCTGAGCCGCGCTCCACAGCCACGGCCAGCGATAAGACCTGCCTGGCTTTTCCCTCCTTGCGCGCGCGCGCGCGCGCGGACGCCAATCTTGCGATCGAATCG